CTCTACAATTCAAAAAGGATGTGGAGAAGCTTGAGAGGGTGCAGAAGAGAGCCATGCACATGATCAGAGGTCAGGAAAACAGTTATGATGAGAGGCTGAGAGCCATGGAAAAGCGCAGACTCAGGGGTCATCTGGTGGCCACCTATAAGTTTATCAGGGGTGCTCATCAGGATCTGGGGGAACGTCTGTTCACCAGAGTGCCCCAAGGGATGACCAGATTGAAGAGTCACAAACTCCGCTGCGACCGATTCAAGCTGGACATAAGAAAGAACTTCTTCACTGTCTGAGCCCCCAAGGTCTGGAATAGCCTGCAGTCAGAGGTGGTTCAAGCACCCACTTTGAATGCCTTCAAGACATATTTGGATGCTTATCTTGCTGGGATCCTATGATCCCTGCTGACTTCCTGCCCCTGGGGCAGGGGGCTGGACTCGATGATCATCTGGGGTCCCTTCCAGCCCAAATGTCTATGAAAGTATGAGTGGAGAAAAATTGAGCAAAAATAGGCATGAAAGAGGTAGAGAGAGAGAGAGAGAGAGAGAGAATATGTCCAGAGTAAAGAGTGTGGGAAGCTGTCTGTGGGTATGGACAGACATTTGTCTGAAACATTCAGAATCTCACTTCAAATTCAGAGCACTGCAGCACCGTGCAGACATGGAACCCCTCAGCTTCAGAGTCCTTTAAAGTGACTACACAAGCATGCAGCAGTAGTAGTCTCCAGTCAGGGGACTGGGAAGCAGGAGTCCCTGCAAGCCTCTGACCTGGAGTTTCCTGAGGTCAGCTAGGAGAACTCTCACTGATTGTCCACTTCACTCTCCTCCTTCACCCCTGAGGGGAAGGGTGGAGAGCTGGGAGTACAGCACTGTGGGATGCTGGAGGACTCAACAACCCCCTATTGTTTTCCACTGGATAAGCACAGAGAGTGAAGGAAGCATTTTAAAGCTGTTCCATTTTTACAAGCATCATTTCTGAAGCACTTCATTGGGTGTGAATGTTTGCACCCTCACTGCTGCTAGCATATCAAACAGAACATCTGTTTGTGGCATGATTAGATCAGTATGATCTGCTGGGCCCAGCTGCAAAATCTCATGTAATACTGTCTACATCTTAACAGGCAGTTAATCAGCTTTGGCTAATGCATTTTGTTTACAAATATAAGAACAGCATTAGTATGTAGCACTCTTAGAGTGTTTAGTCATGTTTTATCACATTTATGATGATATACCATATTTTTCCACATACAGCACACCTTTAAATATAATGAACAACTTGTTTTTGAAAGACAGAATGAAAAAAAAGATTTTTTTCAGTGTTATGGTTGCACAGAACACAGACACAGCCTTCCTGTCCTGTCCCATCCCGTTCTGTCTCTGCTTCAGCCATGGCAGCTGCTGAAGACTGGTTTCTATGTGTGGATCTATGATTCTGAACAGAGCTAAAGTTTCTCCAAGGTTGTTTAACAGGAAGAGAGGGACCAGGAGAGCTAGCAGACAGCACAATTGTTCTTAGAAAGTTTAGCTTGATTAGTGGAACATCAAGACCATTAAAAAGGAGAGACAGTCATTAACACCTCTGGAATGAAGAACAATGAGCCATTAAGTCAAATGACTCTCTCAGCTGCCTGAATAGTAATCCTACAGCTGCTGCACTGTGGAATAGGAATCAAACCAGGCTAACTGCTTCTATACTGGGAAGAAAATCAATTTCACCACTTAAAACATGACCCCGATTTTGGGGGAAAAGGTATATGTTGTATCTGCAAGAAAATACAGTAGATGGTACATTATTTGTTCTAGAATAGTATCCTCCCCTCATTTTACTGTAAGAGGTAAACAAGTAGTTGTCCATTTTAATTTGTAGTATCTGGAATTTCTGATCTGTTACAAAAATGACCCGTTTATTAAATATAACTGGCTATAATTTTGAAATAATGGGAATCCACTACCTGTCCTGAAAGCCTCAGCAGATATCTCTAATAATGTACATGTTGCCTTGTGTACATTGTATTTCTTATATTCTTCATTTTCCTCTCATTCGTGGGATCAATTCTGTTGAAATAAATTGTTACATTGCCACTAACATATTTTAAAAGAACTAAAAGAGACACCTCCTCTTTTGTTTTTAATGAGGATTTGTTTTCCAAAAAATGAGATACTGGATGGAATTCCAACCCCTGATTCCAGTCAGTATCTTGCTTTTGGAAGAGAAATTATCAATTTCAACCATAACTATAGGATATCCATTTAAATACCATTATCTCGATCAGCAGGATTCCAGTCAAAGTCATCATCAGTATCTTGTTTCCAGTTACAAACCCCCTTGTTGAAGCTGCAATCAACTAAAAAAAAGGAAAAGAAAAACTCCCCATCAATTAGGAAGCAATGCAACATATAATGTTATTACCCCGTGTAAAGTTAAAAAAAATGATCTGACTCTTTGTTCCATGGCTTGTATAATTCATAATAAAATTATTCCAAAGCTGCACTCAAATAGTGTTGACCTAAATTAGACCCCAGAAGCATAGAATTTTGAATCAGTGTCACAAATCCTTCTTTAACTTTTAACATAATCTGCTGTGACTTGTTAGAGCAGGAGTTTTCCCGCCTGCACATGATTTTATATGCTGTGATTTTTATGCATTGGCTGTCTGCTGGTTTCCAGGTGCAGTTTAAATTGTTAGTTTTGAGTTGGAAAGACTCAAACAACATGGGATCTGCCAATCTGAAAGACAGCTTTTCTCCTCACATAATATTGCTGCATTAGTAAGTAGCTGAGATGCACAGGGGCCAGCTGCTTCCGTTAAAGAGGATGAAGGCTTCTTTTGCTAGGAGCCCTTTAGTTTGAAACTCATGCCTCCCACTGCACTCATCTTGCAATAGCCTGAATGTATTGTCCTTCAGGGCACACTGTAAAGACTAGAGCATAGCACAGACTCTCTAACTCTGTTTTTTAAGTTGTACAAATTGAAATAAATGTCATAAAAAATATTGCACTGTGCAACAGTAAGCACAACAGTTCAGATGCATCAGCCATCACTCTGAATTTCCTAATAAACTGTTATTCCTTCCTGTTATTTTAATATACTTTATAATGGGGTTGAGTGAGAGGTACCAGAGATAGGTTAAGAAGTACTAACAGTATTATACAAGCTCATTTACACATGATTACAGTTTTCTTGGGAGAAAAAATGATCTTTTGAGATGAAATATCTGATGTTTGCTCTGAGTCCAAATGTCTGGTCATCATTTGGTGTGCTTCCTGAGATTTGGCCCAATTTCAGTCAGTGATTTTTAAGTTTAAATCCTATCTTTGAAAACCACTCAGACATGTTAGTTCTGTATTCATACCCATTGCCCAGACAGTGATTGCTTTGCATGATTGATAACTCTGTAGAGTGGACTTTCCTCTAGCTACAGAGCAGAGACTTCTGCAGTCCTATGAATATCGTTACTGGCATACAGCCTTTCCTGTTCCTCCATTTGGTTTCTGCTTTCTCCCTAAATCTCAAGATCAGGCTCCTAGAGATGTTCTACTGCTTGATGTTCCCAAGTTTCCCCATAGCATATACAGCATTTTTTAACGGATGAGTAGTTTTCATCTTCAGAAGTGCTAAACAGATCAAAATCAGATGGTTCTATCATAAATTATCAGTTTACTACTACTATGGGAAGTTACCTCTGGTGATCATGAAACAGTACCATAATTTTCTATGTTCCACTCCTGGCAAAGCTACAGTGCTATCCATTACAATTTTCAGCAGTTGCTGGCGTTTTCTACATTGTTTGAAAAGGTATAGGAAGGCAAAGAGAGGGCATTGAAGAAATTTAAATTCCTTATTTGAATAAGAAGGCCTTGGCCATTGTATAGTTTTCTGCAGCATCTTGCTTTAATGTCTATAAAACATACCAGTGACTTAACTCAGCACCATTAATTTCTACCGATGCTATTTAAGATATGTGCCTAATTTTGACACATTTACCCATATTTTTGCAAGCCAAATTTGTACTGATTTCATTCCATCTAGACCTGTGGTTTTCAGCCTTTTTTCATTTGCAGATTCTGAAAAAATTTCAAATGGAGGTGCGGACCCCTTTGAATTGTAAGTGTGGGTATTTACATACTTTTGATTGATTATAGTCATCTTTTGCTGGTCCCTTAGATGTACTCTGCAACACCCCCAGGGGTCTGCATACCACAGGCTGAAAACCAATAGTCTAGACTAAAGACAAATACTCTCATTGTAGATTTTGGGATGTGGTCACGTGCATAAACCTCTTTCTGACACTATTTAGTGATAAAGACCATAATGATTTTAGTTTTCATTTTGGTTAAAAATATGAAGTGAGATTTAACTGTAGGACTGATCTCAATGTGGAACAATTTCTTATACATGGTTTATAAGCAACTGAAAACAGAATTTTATATAAGACACAGTAACAAAACCTTACCTAGGAACTGCCAGCACAGCTTGGCTAGATACTGTCTCCAGTAAAAATTTGTTTTACTGTACTTTAAAGACTTTTAAACATGCTCTTATGGTCAGAACACAAAGGTTGCCATGAAAACACACAATACACAGAAAAATAAATACTGTAGCAAAAGAAAAGTAATCTACCTTCCTGTTCTGGTTTCAATACTGGAACTTTTCTCTGTGCTGGGAGAGGACCAAAAGCAGCTGCTTCTTTCACCTTGGGAACTAATTAAAATAACTTGTCAGTGCCAAATAATATACAAGGAGCAGAAAATTAGATGATCCTGCATACCAGTTCTCATCAAGTAGATTTCCTGATGTAACCTACAATCTACTGAACAACCTGCTGACCAGTTAGATGCCAACTTCTAACAAGTTAATTTTTAATGTCAATTAAGTTGTCAAATACAATTTGTTCAAACTGGTAACTTCCACCAGGATGTATTTTACCCTACATGCCGTGGACTTGAAAGAGCCTCTAATTCAAATATCTATGAATGAAATACTTCCCCTAATGTTCGCAGCTCCCTTGCTGCAATGTTTAACTAATGATTTAAGCACATAGGCTGCCTGCAGATGTTAAAAAAAACAAACAAACTCATGCTTTACTTTAAATTTAGGACACTCCTGTGCTGAGCCCAGGATATGACCAGAAGAGTCAGTCTGTTAGTTGGATCCAGCTTACCTGGCATTTGTATAGATCAGGTGCTTTAGTGGGCTTTTTTGGTGCTTTTATCGAATAGTTGATCGACTCAGCTATTAGATAAAACCAGTAAAAAGGGCACTGAAGTGCCTAATCTATACAGATGCTACAGAGCCAGGGTGAAGTAACACGCTGCTTCTTCTGGGAAAATGCAGGATTTGTTTGTTTGTTTTTAAGTGTGCAAACAGCCATAGGGGACTGCCACAAGTGCCTGAAACCTGCTCTGATGCATGTTAATTAGCATGCATTGGAGCAGACTTGATTAATCAAGCCTGCTGGAGCTTGCTAATTAGCATGCTCCAGCAGCCTTGCCATCATGTCTATTCAGCATCCCTGCACTTCAAAATGGTGGTGGGAGCGCTTTAACTAAAGCTTGTCGAATGAGCTTTAGTCAAAGTGCCCCCACCGCTATTTTAAAGCATGGGATACTGCATACATTAGATGCTGTGGGTACTTTAATTAGAGCAGCTCCCAAGAGCTACTCTAATTAAAATGCTCCCCCACTCCTTGCATGTGTAAAGATGCCCATAAACTGTGGGAGACAACAGAATCGGTGACATGATTTGGCTGCAAACACTTTGAAGACAGTAACCACTGCCAAATTGACAAAAATTGTCCTGCACCTAGGTCCATGCTTATCTTAGCAAACTTACACGCAGAAAGGCCTAAAGGAAGTCAGAGGGGTTCTGAACTGAACAGAAAAAAAGGGACCCTTGAAATGCTATGTGCTGTCTGATGGACTGCCAAGAGCTTGTCTTCTCTTGTTGAATCTGAAGCCTTCCCTTCACAAAAACTACTGCTTAAATCACTTGGATAATAATCCTACCTCAGGCAAGGATTAATACACACACACACGCACATGCACACACATTTCTGTTTCTTCACTTAGAATAAGCACACAGAGAGTCATTGTAAAGTCTGCAAAAAATGTATTGACATTGTAAATATCTGGACTCACTATTAGTGAAAGGGGCTGAGACTCAAGAACACATGCCAAACAGAGAAAGTTACTTATATATGAGCTGCTCTGAGAAGAGTGGAGCGACTTAACTAAAGACAGCAATTGCCAGAATGATTTCTTTACCAAGTTACTGAATCACCCTTGAATTCCTTAGGGAGATGCACATGCTGGTGTAACTGTGTGCTGTAAATGCTCCAAGTGAATTGCTGTTTGGTAAATAAAGAATAGCAATGAGGCAAACTGTATCAGAGTCTATTCTGTTTTCAGTGCCGAGTATTATATTCAGGCTCATTCTCCTCCTGTCAGGTGTCTTATGAAAAATGGTATGACCTTCAGACACATGAGAGCAGGTAACAAAGTGAGGCAAAAAGATCAGTGCTAAACTTTCATACAAACAGAAAACTTCTGCCCTAGCTGCAGCCATGCGAGGGTAATTTTCCTTCAATCCTGCCTGGTTGCTAACTCTGGGATAAGGAGGAAACTGCTGTTTTCTGAACAGATGCAACATACTTTTTCTGGTGTCAGCATACATTCATTCACAGAACATCTACAAACACCCTTCGCCCCTTATTCAAAGTATATCTGTATCTGAATGCATCCTATTCTTAAATAGAGTTACCCTTACAATGTTCTGGTAAGGTAGAAAAAGCTTATTAACCCAATTTTACACTCAGTAAACTGAGGCAAGATCCTCAATGAGAACTATCTGCCATTAATTTCAATAGGAGCTGAAACTGTCCTATAGAAATCATTAAGACTTAGGTGCCTCTGTACCTTTGAGGATCTGGGCTTAAGTGACCTGGTCACACAGGTGCCTTACACCTGAGGGGACACTGTCATTACAATGGATCGGAGCAGACTTGATTAATCTGTACAGGTCTATAGATTAATCATCTATTGAACTGTAATGAACTTTTACAGAAGCAACTGTACTGAAAGAATAATTGCATGGCAGAATAAAAGCACTGCCCTATATTTAATAGAGCAGGAAGAAATGTGTCTTTTGGGCCCCCTCTATGTGCAGGTAAAGGTGCAATGGGATCTAATGCGTGATCCACACAATTAATCAATTAATCGAGCTAATTAGCATGCTCCAGCAGCTTCTGCATCTTGTATATTCAGCATCCCCATGTTTCAAAATGGCGGCAGGAGCACTTTAGCTAAAGCTCATTAAATAGAACTAAACTAAACTAAAGGTTTAGACACTGAATACATAAGATGCTCCAGGTGCTTTAATGAGACCTACTCTTGGAGTGGCTCCAATTTTAATTTAATTACTGCACCCTCCCCCCCCCCCCCCC